AAAGTATATAGAATGCCTATTATATGGAATTACTATACCATTTTATGTAAGGGGTTTGAGCATTCATAGATTTTGATGTCTGTGGAGGGCTTAGAACCAATATTTGCAAATACTAAAGGATAGGTATTCTGCCTATGGAAAAACTCAAATATCATGACACCTATGACAGCATTTTGCTCATTAAGAAACAATACATTCATATTTTAATACAGCATTCCCCTTTAGACCATGTCGTGTTCCCTTGTATTAAATGTTTCCTACCCTCATGATGCAGAGTTGGCCAAAATACTAGAATGTTTTTTAGTTTTTAGTTGCAAGAAGTGTCAGAATTTATAGAATCACATTGTCTCTCTGATAAAATACCTAACTCTTTAAGAATTTTTTCAACAAGGGTGCCCTGAGTTCTTTTAGTTATTACATATGAATTCTGAGGAGCAATAGTATCTTATGGGATTGTACTGTGGGTTGTTACTGTTTGATAGATAATTAATAATAACAGCAATAACAACAGCAGTAACAATGATGATGATAATGGAGGTTGGCATCCACTGAGCAATTATCAAGAACCAGACCCCATGCTAAGCAAATTTATGCATGTGTCATTTAATCATAATAACAACTTTATCCGATAATGTGAAGCTCCTAAACACTATCTGTCATATAATAAGTCATCAATAAATGCCTAAAATGATTTTCTCTTTCTGGAGTTCATGGTCCTCTGTGGCCCAACAGTACACATCCAGTCAGCCTCCCATCCTTCCCCAGCAGGATCCCTGACCCAGGATGTCCACTTCTTGTGGATCCCTGCATGTGACATTAACTACCAAGTCTCTATCTGTCCAAATCTTTACAAAACTTAAGGTCCTACCAAGTTCTCTCTTATTTTAAATATGTCTTGACATCTCACTACTCAGAATGTTTCTTTTCTGTGTGTTCTGTTAGTTCACATTATAATTTTAACCAGTAATGACCCGGGTCTGGGTATTGAATTTATTTTTCAGCCTCCTCAAAGTCCAATCAGATGCTATCAACAGGGTAGGCAATTAAAACAAGTTGAAAATGGAGGGATGATGAAAAGGGAGGGAACATGAACATTATTGGAGACAGAGAGAGGGTGCATGAAAGTCAACATGGAGCACAACTGGAGGTGAAAGCTAAAAATAAATCAATAAAACTGAAAGACTGTTGGTGAACAGCCATTATGATGAAGTATTTATTCTATATCATTGCCATGAAGGTGAAAAGGAGTTTCTGATTAAAGAAGCATCACTGAAATAAGAATCAAACTTGGGTAAAATGCTCCATAGCAAAGGATGACAGTGTCCAGTAATTATCTCTGCCACCTGAGTGTTTTCTGATCATGGCAGGCAGATGCAAAGAACAAGAAGCCCTGAGACCACTGCATCCCACAGGCACCTCATTTCTCAAGTAGCAAGTGTCATTCTCCGAGAAATTCTGCCTGTTGATACTTGTTTCTTACATCTCCTTGGATACTGTGTTCCTCTTGCCATCACAAAGCTTCTGTGGATACCAGTTTAGAAGCCACACTTCCATACTCTAAAGAGAAGTACGGGCTTGAATGACGGTGTCTCGGGAAGTATTCCTAACTCTCTGAAACACCCTCTTCCCAAGGCTTCCATCCCAAGTTCTCTAGTTGTCCCTCTGCCTGGCCTGCCCATCACATCTCATCCAGCACTCTGCTGTGTTGATTCCAGGTTTGTCACATTGTCAAGTTACCAAGGACAGCCCCCAGACTTTGCTCTTTTAGTGCCATATGCTCCTGTGGTGTGTGTGCTAAAAAGTGCAGCCACTCACTGCCAGCCCACCTCCAGCTTTGCCACACAAGCCAGAACTTCTTGCCCAGATGGTGGCACTTGAAATGCTTATGGATTTTTGTAAACCATTATGGATGGAATCTAAAATAATTTTATCTCTTATCATAGTAAGAAAGCTTACTTGCTTTTTTTACCTCTAGACAAAATAAATGAAAGCATTGCATGACATTTTGCAGGGGTTAAATATAGACCAGACCATCTCTGAGGGTAGGGATCCTGTTTTAGATTTACACGGTCATAGGATTTAGTCCAGTGCTATACATAAAAGACCGTTAAAAAAGTATTCAGTAAACTGACAGTTTAATTCTTACTTTTAATTATACCATTGAGTTCTCCTCTTCCAGGGTTGTAGGTTTGTAAGCACGTATTTTCAAAACCCTGAAAGGGTGCCCTAACCAGACATCTCTTCCAGACCTCCCCACTGAGGTTCCCCTTTGCTGATGCTACGCAAATCACCTAATTTAGCTGGGATTACTTATTTAGCTATATGAAGGGAAAGACATAAATCTCAAGAGTCAGCTAGCAAGGGAGCTGTTGTGAGAATCAAATATGAGATACGGAGGTCAAAAATTGGGCTTTGTAAGTTATAAAGTGCTAGAAAGATAAATGTAACAATGCAGGAACTGGGATCAAACTCCCCGGCTATGTCCTTTGTATCACTTTGAGAATTTTAAAGAAAACCTTGTGATTCTTTGTCATTCAGTGTCAGTAAGGATACTGACATTACCATATGGAGTTAGTGTAGGGACTAAATGAGGTGAAGTCTATGGAATGCAGTCTGCCTGACCCAGGGTGCTGTGTGAAATAAGTGATTGTTATAATTATTTTCCGTGATCAAATCTCTGATTCTGAGATCTGATGACAGGATTTGAATTCTTTTTCAAATTCAAGTCTTGAAGTTTTATACGTTTATTGTTTGTAAATATTTTGAAAAGCTAAAGTATGTTATCATTTAACATTTTATGATTACTTAAAGATATTTTATGGTAATTTATGTATCATTCCATCCATGTTCCTCTAATGTTAGGTTCCAGGCTTCATTTTTACTCTGATATTTTATACTCAAGCTGAATTAGTTAAATATGACCTTAAGCACTACTTAGAAACTGCATCATCCGTGTGTGTGTGTGTGTGTGTGTGTGTGTGTGTGTGCCCACTAACGGGAGGCTTCTATCCACCTAAGAGAAAGAGCAGTTTGGGAGCGTGAAATCAATTAGAAATAAATTAGGCTTATTCTCTGAATCAGATGAATTTCATTAGTTATCTCTGCAATTTTATGAGATAAACATTATATTTTTCATTTTATAGTTGCAGAAACTGAGTCTCGGAGTTGTTAAAGGCCCCTCTAAAATCTGTTTCTTGGAGGGAAAAACAAGCTCTAGAACCTAGGTCTACTTAACTTTATAAAGCAAAGAATGCCACTCTTTGTAAAAAAAAAAAAAAAAAAAAAAAAGAGGAGGATATCAGAGTCACAAAATTCAAGAGTAAGTGCCAGAGACGTTGCCTGCTGAAATGTTTGCCAGTATCAGGGATTCTGGGTAGAGTTGAAAGAATAGAATGTAGTTTTGTAAGACCTAATTTTTCAAACATAAAATCCCACTTTTAAGAAGACAATCTCTCAATAGATCACATTTCAGACTTTTTCATTGGAAACAGCTGACTTTTTCTCAGTAATTGTACTTCCTTAGTTATCTATGTTTTTAGAAAGTCTTTGTTATAAATCTCTGGCCATACAATTGTAATCACTTTCTAAAACTTATGGGTCATTTAACAGTACTTGAATAAAAAGAGTAAAACAAAAACATAGCTTTAAATAAACTTCTCATTCTTCAGACCAAATAACTGTTTGAGTAACTGAGCATTACAATGGAAACCAAGAGGTTGGCCCTAGTACCAGTCTTCACAGTGCTTTTCCATCTCACTATAAACACATCTCTAACTAGAAAAGGAGGGGTGGAAAGACTCCATGCGGAAGAAGGGCAGTGAACCCTGAAGGTGAAGTATGGTCTTATGTGTCAGATGGGCTGAGTCAGGCCATGCACTGCTTTTATTTCATGGATGGCCAGTTAGGTTTTATTGTCTTCATTTAGAAGAAGTAAAGCTCAAGAAGTTCACACTCAGGGCTGTCTGACTTCATATTAGACTGCAGTGACTCCAGGGGAACCAGGACTGTTCTATCACTGAATGTTAAAAGATATTTCTCATGTGGTAATGTATGTGTTAGATGAGGCATGGATGAATTAATTGTGATAAGCTAGGACGTAATCACCATGGATTTCCCTTCTTGGCCTCTGAAAACTTGATGTGATCATATGGAATGGTTCATGCTCTATGGATTTCTTAGGAAGCATTCTCTAAGAAAAATAACCCTTTAATTCAATTTTAGGTGAAAATGGAATTGCTCTAAACCTCCTGTTATATTATAAATAATAATTTGGATAATTTGGACCTAAAGGCAATCTTTTTGACATATTTTGAAAATTAGATAAATTATGTGTTTAAAATTCTCTGAAGATTGGACAAGAGTAAGATACTTATTTCTTATCTACTGTGGTACTGTGATAACCTGTATAAATGAAGAATTCAGCCAGTTTTATTCATGTAATACAATTGAAATGACAAATTAGTGGCATACTGGCAAATTAAAATCAACAAACTATTGCGTTTTAGCCATTTCATGGAAATATTTAAAAATTGAAAACATTTTGCATTCTCAAAAGATAGTGTAATTACAAGGACTGATTTTTCAAAATAACCTCCAGGAGAAAATGTTTTGATATGTAAAAGGAAAATATTTTTTAAATGTTTAAACAAAGTAACTCTGGGTAGAACTAAAATGAATTGTTAGCCACAAAATAAAGATCTCTACTACATACAATCTGTTGAAAATAAAACTATATGTTTATCTTTCCATTTAATCTATGCAATTTTCATTTTCTTTTTTATTTATATTTTTCAAACAAAACACTAAAGTAAAAATTCAATAAAGCCAGAGATCTTTGTCCATTTTCTCCCAAATGTCTAGAACAGTTCTTTTACATATTATACACTTATTTTATGTGTAAAAAAAGTAAAATTAATAATCAGAAGGCTGTCACAAATATAGTTACCTCATGGATTGGAATTGAAAAACAGAAAGAAATGCTACTGTTTCTTGTCTTTTAGATACACAAAAATGAAGACAGCAACCAACATCTACATATTTAACCTGGCTTTGGCAGATGCTTTAGTTACTACAACCATGCCCTTCCAGAGCACCGTCTATCTGATGAATTCCTGGCCTTTTGGGGATGTGCTGTGCAAGATAGTCATTTCCATTGATTATTACAACATGTTTACCAGTATATTTACCTTGACCATGATGAGTGTGGACCGCTACATTGCTGTGTGCCACCCCGTGAAGGCTTTGGACTTCCGTACACCCTTAAAGGCAAAGATTATCAATATCTGTATTTGGCTTCTGTCATCATCCGTTGGCATTTCTGCCATAGTCCTTGGAGGCACCAAAGTCAGGGAAGGTAAGAGCAAAAATTTTCATCCTATTTATAAAAACATAACTTTTAGTTATATAAACTTTTAATTTAGGAGTGAGTAGGACATATAATCTAAGTGGAAAAACCAAAAGTAAAAAAGTATATATATAACAACAACAACAACAACAACAACAAAAACCCAAATAACCCCAATGGAAATATAATGCCTAATCCATGGAAGAAGAGAAATAAAATGATTTTGTCTTCCTTTCCACCTCTAAACACATTATCACAACACAGATCCCCAACCTGTCTCATATTTTGCTTATCAGAATATGGACAGAATCAAATAAGTAACTGCAGACATGTGGATTTTGAAATTACAACTTGATGATTCCAGTTCATACCTTCTATTTCCTTTTTTTTCCCTCCCTAAGAATGACCCAAATCATCAGCTAAATATGTTGGCTATCTTCTCTTTGCTCCCTCAAAGTAAATCCCCAGAAAACGGTGGTAACAGCTTTATTTGGCTAGTTCACAAATGGATGGTGTTACAGTGAGCAGAATCATTAGATTTTGGACATATCAATTCTTGCCCCATGAAAATAGGGTAACTGACATTTTCCCTGTATTTCTCACTCTTGGATGCATGGCGGAATACACTGTTGATTTGATTGACCTGATGTGTGACCTGGGCTCAAGATTTTTAAGGTCTCTTAAGTGACTCTGACCTGCAACCAAAATGGAAACTACTGCTTCTGGAATTTTTGCTTTACTAGTAAAAGACAAGGCTATGAAAAATAGCTTTCATCTTAATAGAAATTCTGCTGGGAGTGGTGGAAGGCAGCAGAACAATCACTCTGAACTTTATAAATGCTATTTAATGTTCTAGCAGGTGTTTAAATGTTCCAGGTTACTAGGGAGTTTTGTGATACCTGTTTGTATAGATAATTGAATATGTGTAGCAAGGACTTACAGGTCAGTGCAAAGGACAGGTGCTAAAATCATACTACATTTTGCATAATACATGCATAGCTTATCTTCCTTTGTCTTCAGGAAGTTTTAGAGAAGTTTTAAGTTCGCAGAAAATTTAATGGAAAGTAGAGTTAGCATTTACCCCAGATCCCACACATACTGAGCCTCCCCCAATACCAACATCACCCACCAGGGTGGAACATTTGTTACAGTTGATGAGCATATATTGAGACATTTGACACATCATTATTACCCAAGGTTCATAACTTACCTTAGAGTTCATTCTTGCTGTGTGTATTCTATAGATTTGGACAAATATACAATCCACTGTTTGAAAATGAAACATGAATCTTTCCTCCAAAGCTATAAAAAGAATTTTTAGCACAGACACAGTGAGTGATAAGCTATAATAGTTGGCAAATTTTAAGAAATCCTGATTTTCTCTGTCAGATAAAAATTTTCAAATGTGATTAATTACACACAAGATTTTGTTTCTTTGTGCCTATGGCAAATGAAAATAAATTGTAAGAAACTCCTCTGAGGCTTAGGTATTGGTGTATCACAATTCTAATTCAGGAGCAGATGTTGTCTATATGCTATAAGAATGAGAAGAATAGACTAAATAGTAAAAGAAGATAAATGATTTTCCTGGGGCAAATAACTGATTTTTTGTATTTCATGTAACCACTGCATTCCTTCTAATCTTTGTCAGAAAATGACATTTTAAAAGAAATGAATTTCAATTAACCTATTGAAAGATGAAATAAAGACAGATGTGGTTTTTCCAGGAGAGTTGGTATAGATGGATATGTGCAGATGCAATGGAAAAGAACCACCAATGAAAGCTGAAGATTAATTTGTGCAGCACAGAAGAAAAAATGGAAGAAAATTAGTCTTATAAGAGGCCTCTGTTCTCCTCTCTTCTTAATTTTCTGAAGCAGATTTTATTTATATGATTAAAGGTCATCTTGATGGTCTAGTGCATTCATTTTGGAGTGTTGTACCACACTGCATGTTAGGAATCTTGGATGATTATGAGAAGCATTTTAGATAATCAATCCACACTGGAGCAGGGCTAACTGGCATTGGTAGTTTATAGTAGTTCATGGTCATGTTTTTATAAAGAATGTTCACTGAAAGGAATCAGGCATCAATCAAATCAGAATGCACATACTTTAAGAACATAGATTCTAGAAACAAACTGGCTAAGGTTGGGTCCTGAATTCACCATTTACAGACAATGTCATTTGGGTGACATTACATAGAACTTTGGCTTCTCATCTGCAAAACAGTAGTGCCTATCTCTTCAGATATTTTCCAGATCTACTGAATTGATGTAAATAAAGCAGTGCCTGGTCTTGTAAGCACTAGATAAATATGACGATCATCCTATGACAAAGTGATCTTCATAAGCCCTGCCTTGTTCCTTAGTTTTTCAACATTTATCAAAAATTCATTTAATAGTGAAGGCTCCTGTGTATAGCAGCATTTTCATTTTGGGAACATAAAATGTTGAATCTAATATTTCACATATTATATATGTATGTATTACTTATTTGTGGAATACAGTTTGCCTACTACAATTATTATAGTAGCTATGCATTATTGTAATAGCTATAAGAAGAACCCAAGTTATTCTTAACAAAAAAGAACAGACATAAAATCTTGAGTTTGGCTATTAGATCTAACTCTGTAAGCAAGGGACCTATACATTGTTGGATTTGCCAGTGAAAGCCATGATCCTTTGGTATTAATATAAAAGGAAAACAAAGATTACGTTTTGGAATTTTTTGATCCATGCATAATTGTATGTATTTGTAGCATTCAGTGTGATGTTTCTATGCACGTATACATTGCAGAGTAATCAAACAGGATAATTGGCATGTTCATGAAAGATTTATCATTTCTTAATGGTAAGAACATTAAAAATCCTTTTCTCTAGCTATTTTGAAATATGCAATGAATTATTGTTGACTATACTCACCCACTGTGCAACAGGACACCAGAACTTATTCCTCCCATCTATTTAGCCCTGTATCTATTGACCAATTTTTCCCATATACCCTCCCCAGTGCCTTCTCCACCCTCTGGTAACCACTATTCTACTCTCAACTTCTATGAGTTCAACTTTTCTGGATCCCACATATGAGAGAGATCATGTAGTATTTGAAGAAAGTCTACTTTTTGAACTGGGGCAATTTAAAGATAATTCAACCCAAAGGTGCTCACTTTTTCCAGAAATAGAATGATTAATAAAAATGGTGGTTCTGGACCAGAATTTCTTGATGATTATCTCCTCCTTAATGGTACAAATTCAGGTTTATTGACATTTCTGGAGAATATTTTAATGTTTTTTTTTTTTGGTACTGGGGATCAAACTCGGGTCCTTGTGCTTGCGAGGCAGGCAGTGGAACCACTGAGCTAAATTCCCAGCCCATGGAGAATATTTTTAAATTCATCATTGGATATTTATTTCCCACAGTCTTATAAAAGTAACTGTTGTTGGTTATTTCACCTATTTATCAAATATTTTTTGAGCTCCTATTACATTACAGCCGAGGAAGCTGATCTCTGGGGTTAAAAGATACATCCAAATTGCAGATCGGCCATTGTGCTGTCTTTGCATAATTTAGCAGGTGATTTCTCTATAATAACTCCTGTACATAGTACGTATTCTCAGGAGCTTACTGTCCACATAATATCTGTTTGTTCATTTATTTAACAATTCATTTTTTATATGCCATATGTTCCAAGCACCACCCAGGGATTAAATGTTGAATAAGTAGACTGGGTCCCTACTTTAAGATTGTTTACATTCTGGATGGAGAGAAAAATGTTAGGAAAGGCAAGACAAGATTACATATTGGAAGAGATTCTGTCTAAGAAATAAACAGGGTGGGTACAATATGTTGTAGACTAAAAAGAGAGACTCCTATCTAAATACCTCTGAGGTGACATCAGGCTAAAGACAACCAAAAAAAAAGAGACAAAGCAGAAACACAAAATTTAAGCAGAAAAAACCCAATATGTACATGTTTCTCACCTTCAAGAAAACCATGCTCATCAGATTTAATAGACAAAAATCTAGGATTAGGTACTTACATTAACTCAGATTTTTATATCATCCATCAAAATTTATTTAGCACCCAAAGATTTGACTTGGTCTTTGGTAAAAAGAGTGTTTCTAGGATATTCTTCTTTACTAATTGTCCAAAATAATTATATCCTTTGTATTTCAAAGTATGTCTAGTTGAAGTTCTAATAAGATACATTTTGTTTTACTAAAGGATATTTGAGATCACAAAATGTTTTAGTAAGCACTATTAATATAGCTACTTTACTATTTGAAAAGAAATATATTCTTGAAGTATTTTTAAAGCAGATTTTTCCTATGTCAAAAGGAAATATTTTCCTCACAAAGACTACATTCAGAGTGTTGCGCATGACCACCTCATCTGTGAAGAAAGACCAGTCACAGAGAGGGGTGCCTGCGCTGTGCTCACTGCTTAAAGGCAGGAGGACAAAGTGAGGCTGGCTGGTGCTTGCAGAATGGGAGCTCTTTCTGCTCTTCTCCTCCTCCAAAAGTTTTGCTCATGTTTCAATACTGCACTTCATCATAATGGTTTGATTGTGTTCATTAAATCACAACACCTGGCCATATTTAGATAAATTTTGTTATAAGTTTTAATTGACTCACATAAACCTCTTAATGTTTTTCAGACAAGTTGATATTTGTTAAATTTAAAGGCTAGACTTAAAATATATAGCCATTTATTACAAACAGACATTATCTTTAATTGCCCAATCCTCAGGGCTGGGAGAACTGTTACTACACAGAAATACAAGTAAGTGTCCATGCTACAACTTAACAATTTAGCTCTTTTGAAGCCATCGAGATCAAATCAGCTTTCATGGCTAGATAAATCATAATGCTAGTTGATCTTACTTTTCTACAGCACAATGTATGTTATCAATAAGTGACACATTTCTAGCATCATCGTTTTATGCACCATGGTAGGGTGATTAGTATCATATGGCAGCATCTCTAATTTGGTGACCCACGTTAGGCAATATCATCTCAATGTAATGAGATCTTTGCAAACAAAAGTACTCAAATTCACATTTAAAACATTTTGTAGGGGCCAGGGATTTAGCTCAGTGGTTCCAGCGCCTGCCTCGCAAGTGCAAGGTCCCAAGTTCGACACCCTGGTACCAAAAAAAAAACCCAAACCAAACAAAACATTTTGTAAACCAGGTGCGAGGTTGGACTCCTGTAATCTCAACTACTCAGGAGGCTGAGGCAAGAGGATGGCAGGTTGCAGCCTAGCCTTGGCAACGGAGAGGGATTATCTCCACATTTCCCAGGCACACTGTCAGTATTAATAACACTAATAGGCTTCCCTTTGTGCTTTGGGCTGCTTCCTCCAGATGTAGATATCATCGAGTGCTCCCTGCAGTTCCCGGATGACGACTACTCCTGGTGGGATCTCCTCATGAAGATCTGTGTCTTCGTCTTTGCCTTTGTGATCCCAGTCCTCATCATCATCGTTTGCTACACCCTGATGATCCTGCGCCTGAAGAGTGTCCGGCTCCTCTCTGGCTCCCGTGAGAAAGATCGAAACCTCCGCAGGATCACCAGGCTGGTCCTGGTGGTGGTGGCCGTCTTTATCATCTGTTGGACCCCGATTCACATTTTCATCCTTGTAGAGGCCCTGGGCAGCACTTCCCACAGCACAGCCGCTCTCTCCAGCTATTACTTCTGCATCGCCTTGGGCTATACCAACAGCAGCCTGAATCCCATCCTCTATGCCTTCCTTGATGAAAACTTCAAGCGATGTTTTAGGGACTTCTGCTTTCCCATTAAGATGAGGATGGAGAGGCAGAGCACTAGCAGAGTCCGAAACACAGTCCAGGATCCTGCTTACATGAGGGATGTGGATGGGATGAATAAACCAGTATGACTAGTCGTGGAGATGTCTTCTTACAGTTCTCCAGGAAGAGATGAATTCAATGATCTAGGTTTAACTCAGATTACTACTGCAGTCTGAAATGGAAAGACAGTTTTATTAAATTTGGAAATCTCCTGCTCTGAAGTCATCAGATGCAGGCTGCATTCACAATCCAGCTCAGTGGAAACAGCGATACTGTAGAGATGGAGGACCAAAGGTCCTAGCAACAAACACGACGTGAGGCTGATGCACGGTCCCTTTGATGGAGAACAATCTAGGCCTTTTTCTTCTGGTTCCCTAGATTTAGCCCCCATCTGTTGTGGCCTTCCTATACAACTGGCTTCAAGGCTCTCTTTAAGAAAAAAAGAAAAGGAAATAACAAAGTTTGGCTTCAGGGCTTCATAGATATCCAATCCGGATGTTCAACACTGGCAGCAACAAGCTCAAAAAGAATCAGAACCATTTCCAGGGTTCATACCTCTCTCTCTCTCTCTCTCTCTCTCTCTCTCTCTCTGCAAGATGGAGATGCATTTCATGTGGCTGTATGGAGAGAATTCCTGCCTAAGTAGGACTTGGACGCACTCTTGGGATCTGATGTTCACGTATGATAGAACATTATCTTGACATTTGTAAACTTATCTAAACATATAAAAGGTGGATTCTAACATAGTCTAATATTTTGAAAACTACAACTGTTGGGGTTTTCTTAGCATGGACTTCAACTGAATCTTCTGATAAACACATACCATATGTTAAGAACCATAAAATGGCTTAAATACCACTGGAACTGTATATAGTTCGATCTGTTCATAATAGTCTATGTGAAAATAAGAAATGGGCTTCCTTTCTAGCCTGGAAATTTCCCAAGGGTACACTAATGACATCCCCTGAATTATTAAGAATTGATGCTAAGACATTTTGCTGCAATGTCAGCTATCTCTGGGATAATCAGTCACTGTGTGATTTCTTTTAGACTCCCAAACATAATTTAATCTTTCAACAATGCTTATAACTCAGTGTTAACAACCCCCAAACCTTTAACTCACTCTCAGATTGGAGCCTTAGTGAAAGCTAATTTATCTGTGGCATCTCTTCATAAATATATAACTATTAACAGATTCTTTTTGCTCATAGAGGGAAGATGTTTGATTACATACATATCAAGATTTTATTTTGTGGCTTCAGCAGGAAGCAGAATTGCTTCTAAATGTGTGATGAATGAGGACATTATGGCACTGGGGGTGCATGAGCATATCTTGCATAGTATTCTGTGAAGGGCATGGCTGTCGAGGATAATGACATGAATAGCACATTTAGGATAATTTTGCTGCAACTTCCAGATGACATATAAATTCCCTCTTCTTTTCCATAAAACTCAAAGTAATGGCTTTTTCTATAATTTTCCTGGGAAGAAGAAAGGGATAATGTAGAAATAATACCCATCTTTAAGCCTATATCTTATGAAAGCATTACCCTTTGCAATTTGATAGGGGCATTGAAGGTGTAGAATTATATAATTACAGGCATCACTGTATCTATGACTTCTGTTAAGCATGTGCTTTCTCTGTAGTCTACATTACCTCTCATTCTGGAAATGAAATCTTACATTGAAAGTTATACATGTGGCTTCAGAATTTTGATCATGTTTGTCTCCATTCCAGGTTTTTATGGCACCTAACACAGATGGTGTGAGGCAACATAGTAGGGATTTTTCATAATAAAAAATATAGCGCTCTTTTGAGTATTTCTTAAATTTCAGTGAAATTCCTACTTGTAGGGCTGGCGATTTAGCTCAGTGGTTCTGGCGCCTGCTTCTCAAGTGCAAGGTCCCGAGTTTGATCCCTGGTACCAAAAAAAAAAAAAAAATTCCTACTTGTGCTCAAATTCTGGTAAATGAATTTAGATAGGAATGGCTTAAATATTGGCTATTATATAAGAGGGATATCTACATAGAAAGTAGTTCCAGTGACAAACCCTACTGAAATAGGAAATTGAAAAACCTCTTTCAGGAACAGCAAAGCCAAAATGGAAAAAGAGTTAGCATCATGGAATGAAATTATATGTAGAAGAGTGTTCACTTTAGTATTCCATATGCTATTTCAACATTAAGCGCCATTATTGGGATCTGAACTTTTGCCTGATTGTCCTGCATAGAGAGAGTTGCAACCCAAGGAGGGAAATGGGTAGCTATTTTGCTCGTGAGATGTGTTCCAAGCTCCTGAATTACTGTTAACGCTGACTCCCTTCAAACTGAAGGAAGAGAGATAATGTGAATGAGTGTCTTTTTAGGGCACTTCTTTTTTTTTGTGTGTGTGTGT